TTTATTTATGAGTTAATAATCTATTCCCACCAAAATTATTGTTCCAACAATATAAAATTTAATATTATTATAAATACTATATAATATAAGATATATACTATAAAGTCATAAGGTGCAACAGAACGTGTAAACTCAGTTACCGCGAAATAATATAATATTGTAAGTACAAAATATCGAAATCAATGAAAAAAAGGCGAATCCTATACATAGATAGGTAGGTACCAGCTACTTGATAATAATTATATTAGGTATCACGTGGTACGAGGAATCGAATAAATGTATCGCCCGTCGCCAGTAGTTATATAGGCCGGGGTTGTTTTTTTTCAACTGCTTCAATGAATAATTCATATCATTATATACGCGTTTGTTTACAGTCCGGCGAGACAGTGCACTACGCACGTACTCAATAATAATATGTACTCTACACATATACACACACAACGCACTCGTACAACTAATATATTATTACTTATGGTATAATATAATAATATAATTACCAATGGCCAAAATTAATTTATACGTTGACCTCATCTTTACTCGTTGCGCGGGCAAGCGCACCGTTATACGTATTTTTTTTCTCTAACAGCGAGCGTCTTCTAATCATCATCGGCGGCGGTGCAATTCTGTGTATAATTAAAAAAAAAAAAATAGGAATAATAACAACACATGTTTGTTTTTACAGTTTTCGTGTATGTGTGGGTAAGCTCACCATCGCTTTACACAGGAAAATGTGTAATATTGTATGTGCATATATACATTATAGGATGTGGTATACCTTTTCATAACTTACCTACACGCGTATTTCATAGAGTAGATGATTCGCTAGGTAGTTCATAGTCGTAGACATCATAAACACATGGACCTCTTATAGAGAGAGGAATCAAATTTTTCATGGATATCGAGCAAAAGAGACGGATAAAGGTCACAGTTACGTCGTCTGACGTGTCCAAAAGTCGAGATTGTCACAACTCTTGAAATTTCCCGATAATATCATGGTTAGTGAATAATACCGTAAGTTTAATACGTGGACCAATCTGAAGAATACATCAAAAATAGAATTTTTAAAGCCATACGACACGACTTACGGCGTTATCATGGAAAAAGTAATACAAAATAATTTCACTCCATCATATTTTAATGTAGGTAATCACTAATCATATTTTGACAACTGGCGTTTTAAGCAGCTGTTTAACTAGTTGAAAGTTTTTGAATATTGATATTCCTTTATTCTTAGTTACTTCTCTGTGTGAACCTTAATCGTAATTTGTATAGTAGTTTTATACTTAATTATAGAATTTGAGTAAAGCGCACTCGTTTTTTTTGTTTTATCTTTAAAGATTTCTGGTTTGAAACTATGTGTTGTTTATTAGAATTTATAATATTAATTATACGTTTAAAGAAAATAATTACTGTGATAATCACAAGATTTTTCTAACTTCTTTATCATATACTACTATAAAAAGTGTTAAATATTAATGATTTTTTAGATAGGTGTACCTATATTATACTATGTACGTAAATATCGATTACCCTAATCCTTTATAGCTAAAGATTTATTTTTTTGTTGTTTTTGTTTTCCCAGAAAACCGCTTATTAAACGTTATAATAATTTATATATTCATGAAATAACATTATAATACATGCAGGTGGAAATTATTTTCATCGATATGTTAATTATACGTCAGCCATCTAGTAGTAGGCTGTAGCTTATCTATATATCATAGGGACTGCCGTTCGGACGTCGGTCGGCCAGCATAGGTAAAATGTTCTTCGCTTTCACCAGCGACTATAGCGTACACCTTTGACACACGTTCAATGCGCGACCCTTCCTGATAACAATTTTCAAAATAATTTATGAGATTCTAACCTACGGCAATGTAAAACAAATCAGCTATGATATTATTTTACGAGTCTATATATAAAGTATAAACGTTTCAGATTATAATTTTAATATAAGATCATTTGAATATTTTATAATAATGATTCGTTGATTTTGACTCTCCGATCATCTTATGCGTTTTACTGCGACCCAGTAACAATTATAAGTATCTAATATTTAATAAAAGTCCGTGTGAAAAATGAATAAGTATACCTAAAGTCGATCTGTGGCTGTGGCGGCATATTTCCGAGACGCATTGTCTATTGTCTATTCTATAGGTACATGCCACATGGAATCATGCAATTGGTGAATAAAAGGGGTGGTTTCCAGGTCCGGGCCCATCCTTTTCCCCTTCGTGTGTCAAACGTAAAATTAATCAAAAATAAAAATTTCTGTAGCAACAGTTGAAAGTATTTTTCTGATTTTGAACCTTGTGACTGCGGGGTTTAGTTCCACAATATACCATAACATTTTTTTTTGTATTACGATAATTTATAGATATATACTTCTTGGACCTCTCGACCCTTGAAAAAATCCTGGTTGCGCCACTGTATGATACAAACTGCTATTGTAAAGAATTCTTTTAGCGCCGAGTGCACGACCTATATATTATATTATTTTATTCGTTTGGAGTTATCGCTCGAGAAACTGCATTATATTATACTCAGTGGAGTATGTCGTATACGTAGGTATAAATTATTATTGTTAAAAATAATAATAGTCAACCTCAACCACCGAGTAGGTGGTTATTTTAATATGCGATTGTATATAGTGCATATATTGACGTGTAGCGATTGCACTTAATTAAATTATACATTTAATATATCACGTATAGTATAATAATATATTGTTCGACTTGTCGATAAATTAATATACTGTTTGACACAACTTAATTTGTTTTACACTATTTGGTATACCCACTAGACTACTGTCTACAGGTATATATTATTGTATAATACGTATACATGGACTACGGAGTGATCATTTAAGAGGCTACGCTGAAATTAGAAGTCAATTTTATTTTCAAGTAAACGCATTTTTGAAAAAGAATCAATTTTTTTTTTTAATTTTTCGATAATTGTGATTTAATATAATTCGCAAGTATTTTTAAAGCTTCAGTTATTGTGGTTAAAATTATATATTGGTAGTAATGATTGTAGATCGGCCTACTTATATTTTGTTGAATATTATAAATAATTTATATATATATTATATGTGATATAAAATGCTGCAGTTAAATACTAAAAATTCAACGAATAATTACGGGCTTGCCGGATAAATAACGGGTGCCAGTTTTGGTGTATATATTTATACGACCATAAAGGTTATGGTTGTCTATATATAAAATATATTTACTGACTTTTCTTCTCATAATACGGTCCAGCGAGGCACGATAAGTTTTTATTTTCGTATAAACGTGGTACATAATAGGTATTATGGCTATTGCGTTTTACAGTTTTATGCTGTCGATGTTTCGAGTAGTACTCTGTTATGTAGGTACCTAACCTACACATATTATAATATAATATTATAATATAGGCACTATACGACTGCAGAATACGACGATGTACCGAACTAAATGATTGGTCAAAACGCGAGTATTATCTCGGCTATCATAATAATATTATAATATTACCTATTACCTATACATACGACGTGCATATTATTATTATTATAACACGCGTATCTAATTTCACTTATGCAAATCGACGCAGAAACCTGCGGTAAATTCATAAAATCCAGATCAGAGCGCGCGTGTCGTCGGCGATACACTTACACACGCGCTCGTATAATAGACCCGACGTACAAATTCGATTAAATTTCGAGAACGAGTTTATCGATATGCGCTCGTACATACACTATATTATATTCTATGCGTTTAATGGATCGAAAACACGCCATGCGTGTGCGTGTTAATTTAAGACGTTATTTTACGTGTACATATAGTTATAACGTACGCGAACAGCGCGCGGTCGGACCGAAAATAGCTTATATATATTTTTTTTAAATATATTATTTGTTTTTTTTCTTTCTTTACATACTAGCCACTAATTATATTATTGCGATTCGCGACCATATTATAATATTATATATTATATATTTATATATTATTATTATAAGTACCTAATGCAATCGAGCGGGCGCGCGCGCGTCCATTATGTTCTTATGTATATGCTATAATATAATATTATTATGTTATTATAGGTTGGTATATACCTATATATATTGATCCGGTCCCATGTATTATTTTCTACGAATTCGATTATTACTTATTTATCTTTTCTCGACCGGTGCCACTTTCTACCGCGGCTCTGATTTGGTTTTCGACCGGATTTCGAATCGTATAATGCGTATAATATTATATTATTATGGTAATATGGTGTATTTATGTAGGTGTTATTAATTATCATATTATTATTGTATTATCCGTGTGATAACCGTCCGCTGAGTCCACCACAGCTCCTGCAGTGCAGTTATATATTGGGCTCGCTGCAATGCGAATTCTAAAAAGGTGTGTGCCTCTAAATAAAAGTATAGGTTAGGTCAAAACTATTACATTCTAAACTTTACGAAAACATTTTAAAATCTTTTTTGTTGAGAATTATCATCGTTATATAGGTTGCTATCTATATTGTGTTTTCAGTTTTGAACTTTGATCGTATTAGTATAATATATAAAACACTAAAGCGTTTTCGACCTTGTAACGGCTGTCATAATTTGTATAATATTGCAGTTTTTGAACTTTCCCCCCCCCCAGTAGATCGTGACTGCAGTTATGCGTATAATGTTATGCCATCGCTGCTGCTATTAACTCCGAATTGTACGTGACTCTAATAAGAGTGAAGGATTGAGAGGGGTTGGGGCCTCCCCCACGATACCACCCGATGGTTAGGGGCTAAGGTTAGGCGCTAAGGCTTATAGTCTGTCAACTGGTTATATACTATGCACCGGTAACCTTATTCGAATGAATATTATATATTTATATTGGATGATACAGGACATAATATTTATTTTATACATGCAAAACATATAGTATATAATCACATAATATACTATGCGTTATAATGTATTTTAACGATATTGCATTGATTTATTATTTAATTTGGAATTTTTTTCTCAGGATCGGCTAGCCGGACATGGTACAGTCGCGTCAATCGGCAGTGGCGGGGGCGGGGGTAGTGGTGGTGGAGGCGGTGGCGGAGGAGGTGGCGGAGGCTCGTCACCGTTCAGCCCGCACCACCATCACCACCATCACCACCACCGGAACACGACGCCCACCAACGCCGGTTCCAACATGGGACACCACCAGGACTTCCAGCCGCCGTACTTCCCGCCGCCGTTCCCGCCGGCCCACCATCACCATCAGCCGTCCACCGGCAACGCGTCTTCGCCGTCCGCCATGGACTACATCAACGACCCGTACTCGCAGACGCTCAACAGCCTGCACCAAAGCGCACAGGCCGCCGCAGCCGCGCACCACTACAATCAGCTGACCGTTGCCGCGGTGTCCGTCGGCCAGCGGCACGACGCCCTCCGTCGGTCGGACTCAGACTCCATACACGTGGTGAGTGAAATTTATGATTATAATGTCGTTATCTAACTATCGGTATGGTTTGGGACATAGGGTCGAATTATATGCATAAATAACATTATTGTCTTTGAAATTGGGGAGCTCCAACCTTAAACAGTTTCCTTATACAGGATGCATAATGCAAAATAATATTATGATGGCAGATGGGTGCACTTTACAAACATAGGTACTAGGGCGTGCAAACATTTAATATTTTAAAAATAGAAATGGAAATTGAAAAGTTTTCATCAATGAAACAAAATTGTATTACTTGTAAGCCATTCATTTTTCTTTTGCTATCTCTTATCCTGTTTTTTGGAATTTTGGTTTTGGGCTTGTTTGTAGAGGCAAAAATATAATTTGGCGCATCAAATAATACCAAGAGGGCAATCATCGACGATCCATCAATAATGCCATTTGTGGTTGGGTGTATCTATTACTAATTGTATACGTCAATGCTGTGGTGTATACGCGAGGCCCTGAGGGTGGGAGCATATAATGTGCCTCATTACCACACCATATAAAATTCGCATGTCATAAAAAAAAAATTACCATGTTTGACCGTGGTTTTTGTAAGGGGCTCTGTGTAGGCAATTTCGATGCGTAAACGAAAATCTAATGACCAAAATCTTATACAAAGTTATCTAGTATAATAGCAGACATAATCTCAAGTATCTTTAAGGAATTGTTGCATAATTATTATGAAAATATATTTTGAATTCGTGTGAAGATTATTGCGTCTTAATATATAATATACATACTACATATATTACAAAATGATTTTTATCATGTTCACGCCATTTTTATAGTTAAATTATGCATTTCTTTAAATTCTGGTTTTTGCCATTTTTAAGTTTACTTTGTACAAATATTTACAAATAATGTGTAATGACTCTGAAACTACTCGTTCGAATTTAAATTCCAGTACATAGATATTTTTACAATAATCTGAATATTATATTATATTAATTTGAATTATCGCACTGCAATTTAGTCATATGAAAATGAGACGAGAGTGCCCAAAATATCTCTCCCTGCATATTTCGCACGTTAACGTGTTTTGATATAGCATATACGTAGGTTTATGCTATACGTATCTATATTATAATTGTAGGTGTTTGGCATCTGCCCTCGCGCGTACATGGCGTACTTATTCCGCGAGTTCACATGCGAAATTGTTCGCCCGAGGAAGGATTCTGCCACTACATTCACACGATTTCCGACGCGTACGAAAAAGAGCTGTTAAAATAGTCCGTCGCGAAACCACCATTAATATTTAATAATAATACATGATATTATATAAAGTCTGGACATAATTGCGCTATTGAAAATGAAAACCCATATAACCTGCGGCGAGATGATCGACGGTTCCCGTAAACGAAAATCGTATTATATCAAGTTCCTTTACCTATACACTCGCCCGCCACGTGCTATACCGCGTTTTCATCGCCGGGATGACCAAATAGAATGATTTTGTCATGTATTACGATGATTCGATGCTTCCGGCTCTATATGTAGATTCTAATTTCTAACCATCGTAATATTATATTATATGATACAACGGGAAAACATAATATAATTTCGGTCGGCCCGCGTTCGATTCCTTAATTATTTCGATTAATATCAGCACTTATATTTTATACACATTATTATAACATGTACAGCTACAGGTTATCGTCGAGTGAATAAATTATACCATAGGTACATAATATTAAATAATACGTAATATACAGCTACAGGTAAGTAGGTAACATATAATAACATAGTTGAGACCCTGCACAGGACACCTGCTAGCTTATACTTTATTTGTATTCCTGCTTGTCTGCGGTGGGGGGGGAGAGAATACGTTCGAACAAAATCTGGCCCACGCGGAAAATTGCTCCTCGAATCCGCCTCTGTCTCACCATCTGATCTCGAATTTTAGTATTCACCTACCCGTCCTATTATTATATTGTAGTGGTCCAACCTATATAATATGATAAAATATCTTGGACATGCGTTTACACGCTTCGTTATTGTTATCGCTAGCGCACTTGAATCGATCAATCACGAACCGTTTGAAATGGACAACTCGAGACAATCGCAGGTCGCTCGAGTATATCGGATAGTATACCTATACCGGAAACGTGACCGATCGGATAAAAAATCGATTCGCGAGTGACCCTCGCCCCCTCGCGGTGTGATTATAATTGTAATTTACGAGCTGGTATTGCGCTGCGTGTTTTCATATCACAGCTGTGATGTCGTCCCGTCGACAGAAATTCGGTTACGGAACTCGATGATAGGGAATATTATTATTGTTATTTTTTATTATTATTATATAACGACCTCGTTTGTGTGAAATATATGCCGTGTACCAATGTAATACCGTGCGTCTACCCGCAGCACAACTACCCTTACCAAGGCCAATAGAAAGATAGTGCGTGAAACGCATTAATATTGTCCGCACTGATGTATGACATGGCGATTCTCGAATCTAGAATGAAGTTTTGAATTTACTTATTTTGTCTGCCGCGTGTCTATAGTAAAATATACAATAACTTCGATAAATTCCATCGAGTGCGCGCATCAGTGCATAATATTAATATATATATATATATTCCTATATCTAGATAGTAAAATAATTTGTGTCAACCATTTTCATGTATGGAATGGAATTGAGGAGCGAGCTATTTTTTACATTATATTATAATCATAGTTTTTCCAAAGCCCAGACTTGACTCATCGGAAAACCCGTGTTACTGTTACATAACCATCACACCCTAGGTATACGCTTCGCATATAGTTTATGTAGAAATATAATAAGTACCAGCTAAAATAATTCCCCACGTAGGTACACTGTACCTACACAGTGTTAACGGCGGCGCGTAACTCACGATAGCGTCACACGTCGCGCGGGATAAATATCATATTATTATTATATATATCTGTACCGCGAGCTTACGTGCGTGTCTCTCGCACCAAATGACTTATACAATATGTGTCTGTGTAGCAAGAACCTGTGGAGAGGAGAAATGGAAAATAATTTTATTATATTATATTATTGCTCGCACATCCGTTTTCGTTTCGCATATTATAATACATAATATCGTAAGTTATAATAATACAGGAGGTGTATATGTATATATAGGTACCTATATACCAGCCTGCCGCGCCACCGCTCGCTATTTGCATGCGCGTGCAGTAATGTCAACATTATGTCTCGTGTATAAATTATATTTTACATATTTATATATAATGCACGTGCGTTTAACAATAATTATTATATGCACATAATCGCATATTCTGTCTAACAATTTTTTTTTTTTTTTAGTATCCTATTATAACATTATTACATTATATATTTTATTCGTCCGTGTTATCATATTGTGTTCTTCTACCCGGGCGCACCGGTAGTGCCGCCGCGTGTGCTCGCCTATAATATTATAATATATATTACGTAACCTGTACGCCCGTTAAATGACTCTAACACGCCATCCCTTGACCACGCCCCAAGATCGTATATTATTACAATAATAATAATAATAGTTATAGTAAAATTATAATATCTCTCATGCCCGAGAACTATATTTTATTATCTTTTCGTTTCACGCATATAAAATCTCGGCACGTGTGTGAGTCTTGTCTCCGAAGAAACGTGACCCGGACGGCCCCCGCGATAGAGACTTTGACCCATAAAGAGTCTAAAAAAGCCGTTTAACTAGAGAACAAAATCACCTAGTGGAACAAAGTTAAAATCATAAAAGGGATCCCATCGGTACAAATTAAAACCATTATAACAGACAATACAACTCATACCGAACCCCACACAATAGCTCAATCAATTGGCCATCACTTTTATTCAAATAGCAGCAACGCCAACTTAAATTCTGATTTCCTAAAACATAAACAAGAAACAGAAACTAATAATTCTTATTTCATATATGAGAACCAAAGCTTAGGAGACATTCTAAATGAACCGATAACATTATGTGAACTAAATACAGGTCTACTAGGAAAAAAGAGCAACAGTTGTGGTTCGGACAAAATCCCATTTATTTTTTTACAAAACTTACCCCCAAGTGGCAACCTCCTACTACTTAAACTATTCAACCAGATCTGGCGTTCAGGGATATTACCAATCAAATGGAAAAATGCTATTATCACCCCCATACCCAAAAAAAACAATGATAGATTTAAGCCAACCGGTTACCGACCAATTTCTGTCCTGTGCAGCATGAGCAAACTATTAGAAAAAATAGTATACAACAGATTATATTGGTTTGCGAATAAACATAAACTTCTATCACCCTTTCAACACGGATTCAGAAAGCACCATTCCACCACCGACTGCCACGTAAAAATAGAATCAGAAATACTGGAAACATTGGCTAATAAACAAATAATGATTCTTATCAGCTTAGATTTACAAAAAGCTTACGACACTGTTTGGCGTTACAGAGTGATCGAACTGCTAAAAAAATGGAACATTCACGGTAATATGATAAGATACTTAACTAACTTCCTAAGCCAAAGAACTTTTCAATTAAAAATCAGGGATTACATCTCTAATACCTTTGTATTAGAAAATGGAGTACCTCAAGGATCTCCGCTCAGTGTTTTCTTATTTCAAACCGCCATCAACAATCTTCCTGACTTCATACCAAAACCAATCAAATCAATTATCTTTGCTGACGATACACACATCTACGTTAGAGGAAATTCAATCCCTTCAATAACTAGAGTACTACAAAACTGCCTCAATGAACTGTCAAAATGGTGCCATAATTCAGGCTTTATTTTCTCTCCACACAAAACAAAATGTATCCTTTTTTCCAACAAAAAGAACATAACCAAACCCAAAATCTATTTGAATACCATCTGTCTACCTTTTACTGAAAACATTACTATTCTTGGCCTTACCTTTGACTCCAAATTAACATGGAAACCTCACATTCTGAAAACCAAAAAATCAGCCTACAAAAACCTAAGAGTAATCAAAACACTTAGTCATC